TTATTAATGGATGTTTACAGTTGTTTCTCCTCATTTTGAGTTGTGCCCCATCAGCAAATGAAGGTCATAAACACTTTACTCTATTCACATCATCACTGTCAACTCTACTTTGAGGAGGCAGCTCTTCCCCCATCACATTTTGAGACCTTTCCAACCTGAGGGGCTCATCTTCTGGCGCTGTAGCTGACAATATTCTGGTACTCTTCATCATGTTTCAGTATTCAATATTATGGTACTGACAGTGTTTGATTGCTATTTGTAAGGTATTCAGTGGCTAATAATAATTGACATCAGATGGATCTTGGCTAAAAGAACAGAATACCAGAAAGATGTTTGCCTATGCTTTACTGACTATGCAAAGACTTTCAACTGTATGAGTCATGACAAGCTATGGACAACATTGCAGAGAATGAATATTCTAGAACACTTAATTGTGCTCATGAGAAACCTGTACATAGACAAAGTTCAAACAGGACAAGGGGACACTGAATAGTTTAAAATCAGGAAAATGTGTGCCAGGGTTGTATTCATTCACTCTACTTATTCAATCTGTAAGCTGAGTAAATAGACCAAGAAATAGAGTACATGAAAAGAGCATGTTATCAGGATTGGAGGAGGACGTATTAACAACCTGGTGTGGCACTATGGGTTAATGCGCTGAACTGCAAAGTCAATTTGAACTGCAAGGTCAGTGGTTCAAGCTCACCAGCCATTCCTTGGAAATCCTATACAGAGTTGCTATGGTTTGGAACTGACTCAAATGCATTTAACAACAATGACAGAGTATGTAGGTGTATGTGTCCTGGTGTGGCACTGTGGGATAAAGCACTGGATTGCAGGGTCAGCTTGAACTACAAGGTTGGTGGCTCAAACTCACCAGCCACTCCTTGGAAATCCTGTACATGGTAGTTATGAATTGGAACTGACTTGTTGGCACTTAACAACATATGCAGATGATCCATCCTTGAATGCTGTGAGTGAAGAGGACTTAAAATACTTACTAATGAACATCAAAGACCACTGCCTTTGATATGGGTTACACCTCTATGTAAAGAAATCAGAAATCCTCACCACTTGACCAATTAACATCATGATAGATGAAGAAGATTGAAGTTGTCAGACACTTCATTTTGCTTGGATCCACCATCAGCTCTCAATGGAACCAGCAGTCAAGAAATCAAACCTATTGCATCAGACAAATCTTGCTGCACAGGATCTCTTTAAAGTGTTGAAGAGCAACGATGTCAGTTTGAGGTCTAAAGTGCACCTGACCCAAGCCATGGTATTTTCAATACCCTCATATGCATGTGATTGTTGGACAATGAGTAAAAAAGACTGCAGAAGAATTGCTGCATTTGAGTTATGGTGTTTGAAAAGAATATTAAAAGTACTATGGACGGTTAGAAGAACAAAACAGATCTGTGTTGGTAGAAGTATAATCACAATGCTCCCTGGGAACCAGCATGGCCAGACTTCATCTCTCATACTTTGGACATAATATCAGGAGGGATTAGGCCCCTGGAGAAGGATATCTTGTTTGGTAAACTGGAGGGTCAGTGAAAAAGAGGAAGACCCCCAACGAGATGGATTGGCACAGTGGCAGCAGCAACAGGCTGAAGCGTAGCAGTGATTGTGAGAATGGCACAGTATCAGGCAGTGTTTCGTTCTGTTGTACATAGGATTGCTATATGTTGGAAATGACTTGACAGCACCTAACAACAACAACTTGCCTAAGACAGTAAAAAGACATTTTTATTTTAACTTTGTATTGTGAATTGAGTGAAGATTTACGAAGGAGATCATTAGTTTTACATTCTAAAAATCATATACTTTGATACATTATAATGACTGCAGTCTCCACCGTGTACCATTATTTCATAGTATTTTCCTCTATTCACCTTAGTGCTTGAATTCATCCCTATTTCTCCCACTACATGCATCTTTCCTCTGTCAACCTCCTTCTTGTTGTTTTATATTGCCTGTTAGCATATGTCTACCCTCTAGTCCGTGAATAATTTTCCCTCCCCAACATGGCATCAGGATTGGAGGAAGACTTATTAATAACCTGCAATGTGCAGATGATACAACCTCGCTTGCTAAAAGTGAAGAGGACTTAAAACATTTACTAATGAAGATCAAAGAACACAGCCTACAGTTGAATTACATCTCGATGTTAAGAAAACAAAAAATCCTCACCACTGGACCAATAAACAACATTCTTATCAATGGAGAAAAGATTGAAGTTGTCAAGAACTTCATTCTTTTAAAGTGTTGAAGAGCAAAGATGTCAGCTTGACGACTAAGGTTTGCCTGACCCAAGCCATGGTATTTTCAATAACCTCATATGCATGCGAAAGCTGGACTGTGAATAAGGAAGACCGTAGAAGAATTTATGCTTTTGAGTTATGGTGTTGGAAGAGAATATTGAAAGTGGTAGTAGTTAGAGAATGGAAGCATGTTCACCTTTCTCTATTTGCAGTTGGTGCACCTCAGTAAAGGAGGTTTCAGCTGGTATTGGCTCTTGCCCAATGGGTGGAGCTGCAGAGGGTATGGTTATGGCTGGGCTATAAGGGCACAGTTGCTATTTCCTGACAGGTAAGAAAGAGAAGAAACCATTTCCTACACACACACACACGAAAACAAAACAGAGTAAGCAAGCAAGCAACCACCAGTGAAAAGAGAAAATAATAAAAGAGGAAAAAGAGACAAAAATTACAGCAACCAGAAAAAAGAAATGAATATAATAACTAAAAAGAGAAAAGAGGGACAGAAAAAAGGAGCTATAAAAGTGAAAATTAAAGGAAGAAATAAAAAATTTAAAGAAATAGTAATAATAAAACACTTGGACAAGGGAGAGGGAAATGAGGAGAAAGAGTAGAGACTAGTAAAGAAAAATCAAAAGAAGAAGGGAAAATGAGAAACAGAAAAAAGAGGAAAGAAAATTAGAGAAAGGATCAGATTCAAGGGAATGGAAAAGAGAAGAGGGAGAAAAAAGAATGAAACAATGAATGGAAAGAAAACAAAAAACAATGCAGCTGTTGGATCTGAAGAGGAGAAAACTCTTGGAGGCTCCTGCCAGCCAAGGTGCTCACGAGGTTAGTGCAAGAGGGATGTGACAGTGGAGTTCCTGACCCTAGATGGAATTATCATTGTTCAGGCATTCAATCCAGAAGTAGTTTCTGACGGCCCTTGATGGAACTGGTGTCACAGGCCAGCTGGGGACAGGCTGGCTGGTTATGACAGTTTCTGCTATCCTAATGCTGATCTGGTGACACTGTGGGTTCTATAAGGCAGGACCCGAGCCTACCCAAATCTAGACACCAAAGCAGTGCAGCCAGGCCTGCCTCATACTGGTGTGGCCGCAGCTCCAAACTCCTGGAGTGTATGGCCTGCTCTGGGGGTGATGAGGGTGGGAGCTGGCCACACCTTTGGTCACCAGGGAACCTTGGGGGGCAGGAAGAAGGAATCACACCTTTCCCACCACCTGTGTGAATCTGCTGTCATTGAAACTGCTCACAGAAGTTCAGGATGGTTGCACCACACTGGCTGGCCGATCCTGTCTCCCTCACTTGCCCTACCTGCTCAGCTTCTCCTCCCAACAAGCACTCAGTCCACTTCTCTGAAGTTCAGGGTTCCAGGAGTTTCATCTGTGTCTGTTTCATTTGATGCCCCATATCTTTGTTATAGAGGGTCTGTGTAATGGGGCTGCCTAGACTGCTAGAAGTCCTCTAAAAGGGCATTTCTAGGCCAGTTTTACCCAATTAAATCAAAATTTTACAGATGCAAGAAATGAGTCGATATTTTAAAGCATGTAGCATCCTTGTTTTTTACTTTGTTTTGTAAGAGTTTTATTTAGATAAAAATTTAGCAACTTGGTGTTTGTTTTGTGTTTTTCTGGTTTTTTGCACAATAGAGAAGTGTCTGATTGACCTTCTGTAGGTAAAGTTGTAAGTTAAGTCTTGAAATTGTTTATCTTACAAAGTAGTTGACAAGAGTGTGAATGTGTATCCATTTAGAAACAGATGTTGCCTATGCAGAATAATGTCTTTGCATTTGTTTCCTAGGTGATACTGTCATTCCACTTTACATCCCACAGTGTGGAGAATGCAAATTTTGTCTAAATCCTAAAACAAACCTTTGCCAGAAGATAAGGTTAGTATCTTATTTTATTCCTAGACCAAGAGGTCATTTACAAATGATAATAAGCAATTGTCTAACAATTTACAAAGTGCTTTTTACATGAATTATTTCATCTTTATAGTTTCATCATTATTAGTTTCCCCATTTTCGTAGATAAGAAAATAAGACTTTGTAATTAGTAGTTTGCCTAGTATCTACCTATTGAGAGATAAAACAGAGCTTTCTGAACACATTCTCTTCCCATACATTTGACTAAGTTTGCCAAAATGTAGAGCAAGGAAGAATAGGCTTGTGAGATTAAATGTAATTATTTTTATGGGCCATTTTATTGTCCATTAAATCAAAGTAGTAAAACTTACTTCAAAATGTTCTTGGGAAAACTACAAGAGATAGCATAGCCCCTTGACACACAAAAGGTTGTTATTTTATTTAAGTAAGATAACAACACTTAAAGTGCTACTTTAAGGAAATGAAAACTCCCTTTGTATATGTTTATTTTTTGTTTAAAGGTATAACATAAACAAAATAAAATACTTAAGTATACAAACCCTAAATGTACAGCTCCATGGATTTTTACATGTATGGTTATAACCACAGCATAGATTAAGATAGGAAGCCCTTTTTGTCACCCTACAAAATCTCATGTCCCCCTTAGACAGTCTCTGTCTTTAAAGGTAAAACCACTATTTTGATTTTTTTTTCCACTGTAAAATTTCATAAATGGAATCATGTAATATGTGCCTATTATTTATCTGGCTTTTTACTCATCGTAATGTCTGTAAGATGTGTCCAAGTTGCTGTGTACACCAGTGGTTCTTTTTTATTGCTGTGCCATATTCTATTGTAAATAACACTACTTATCCATTTTCCTGCTGGTGGGTATTTAGGCTTTTGTTAATGTTGCTATGACCAGTCTTATGCATACCTTTTGATGACTATGCACACTACTTCCTCCTGGGTATTTTCCCAACATGGAATTGCTAATTCACAGGCTGTATCTATGTGTATCTCCAGTATTATTATTGTACCACTTTTCACTCCCACAACAGTGCAGGGCAAATCCAGTTGTTCGTGATATTTTTCTAACACTGTTGATTTATGAAGGAGCTTCAAAAAATTCGTGGAAAATGAGATTAAAAGACAATGGAATTTCCCCCAAAACTTTTTGAAACCCCTCATATTTTTGTAAAACAAGAGTCCCATTATTTTATAAGATAAATCCAGCCACCTTTGGCAACACTAGAACCAAGAACAATCTCGTCATTTGAAAGGGGGTTTCAAACACAGTCAAGAACAATGATGGTTATGTACGTTCTTGTGACTACTGTAACTTTAAAGGGAGAGGTTTTCTCTAAGCAGAAAATTATCTCAAGATGCCTCCTCCCTCTTTCTCCCAAGAAACTCCTCTGCATTAGTAATGGTTTCTCACATTGAATGGCCAAACATACTTAAATTGTTGTCATAAACATAAAATGAGTTACTTTTGGCATAACATGCTGCTGTTCTTTGCATCTGATCAAATTTTTTTTTTGCCTCAAAATAATTGTGTTTACACTTGATCTAAAGGCAGTTCATTTCTCTTCTGCATTTATTTACATTTATATATTTATGCTAATGGAATTATCTGAGAGTATATATCAAATTATAATGTTTTATTTTTACTAAAAATAGCAAACATTAAGCACTCTGTCAGGCACAGTATTACTGCTTTATATAACATCCCATTTGATTTTTATAGTAATCTGTAGAAAGAGGATACTGTTTTCCTAATGCGAAAACGAAGTCACCAAAAGGCTAGTTAACGTCCCAAGATCACACAGGGTTTAAACACAAGTGTGTTTGACTTTTGAGACCATATCCTAAGCAAGACAGTATGTTATATGTTTAGAATATAATATAAAAACTAAATTTTGTTGCTGTTTATTGTAACTAAACAACCTGGAAAATGGTGACTTTTGTGGATTCTTTTCCTATTTCAGCATAATCAATTACACAGACCTCCTGGAAGATCTGCTGGCCAGGTTGGCCTCTGTCTTCATCTGACCTGATAACTATTTATAATCTCTACCTACCTGTATGGATGCTGGTTTTGTCGTTATCCTTTATGAAGTTATAATAGCTCACACAGTTTTATTTTGGAATTTTACGAGAATTTCACCTGATCCATGAGTGTGTAGCTACTAAAATGACTAAAACTCTGTTAGAAAGCTCCAGAAGTATATTGAGTGTTGGAAAAGATGGGCTCTCTTATAAGGCATTGCTGAAAGTTGCTAAATCATTAGTGATTGCATTTGAAATTGAATTTTGGTCTTAGCACACTTTCTAAATGCTTTCTGATCATTATTTTCAAAATCAATTTCTTTCTCCTATGATTTTAAGCACAATAGTGGAACTAATGGACTCAAGCATACCAGCTATCAACAAAGATGGCACAGACCAGGGTTATGCTTTGTTGCCATGAGTCGGAGCCAACTCATGGCACCTACCAACAACAACAACATGGGTTTTAAAGAAACCTCATTCAACCCTGCTTTTTTTACCTCTTTTCTTTAGAGTCACTCAAGGGAAAGGATTAATGCCGGATGGTACCAGCAGATTTACTTGCAAAGGAAAGACTATTTTACATTATATGGGAACTAGCACTTTTTCTGAATATACAGTTGTGGCAGATATCTCTGTTGCTAAAATAGATCCTTCAGCACCCCTGGATAAAGTGTGTCTGCTGGGTTGTGGCATTTCAACCGGTTATGGTGCTGCCATAAACACTGCCAAGGTAAGAGATAGGAGTAGCCTGTTACCTTCTAATTTGATTCAACAAAGCTTTGCTGGAGTAATGAAATTGGCCCAATATGTAAGAAACCTACGGATTTCCTTTACTTTTCTGGAACGACTATCTTATAAGACTGTTTGTTGTTAGGTGGAGCCTGGCTCTACTTGTGCCATCTTTGGCCTAGGAGGAGTTGGATTGGCGACTATCATGGGCTGTAAAGTAGCTGGTGCATCCCGGATCATTGGTATCGACATCAATAAGGATAAATTTGCAAAGGCCAAAGAGTTTGGAGTTTCTGACTGTATTAACCCACAGGACTTCAGTAAACCCATTCAGGAGGTGCTTGTTGAGATGACAGATGGAGGGGTGGACTACTCCTTTGAGTGCATTGGTAATGTGAAGGTCATG